TGAAACCACCATGCTTCACAGTTGGCTGCAATCTATTGAACCAAAACTCTTGGTGAGGCATTATCCAGACCCATTGTGTAGCTTTTTGTTTAATTACAAGCAAACAAGGCGTTTAGGAAGGATAAAAAATGTTTACAATTATTACATCTTAAAAGAGATTATATTTCAACAGAGGCACAATGAGAATTGAAAGTTTTATTCAGAAAAAAAAATTTACCATAGAGTGTTTCAAAAAACTTTCACAGAGGGAGTTCAGTATGTTGTCCGTTGCTTTCAATCAGCATAATTTATCAAGCCTATTCCTAAATAGAGCTATTGCAGCTATTATTTTTTTGTGGAGGGTTTTTGTTGATCATCTCAATATTTTGCACACTGACATGCATTTTGTTCAAATCACTCATCTCGTATTTTTGAAAGAAATTAAGAAAAATATGATATTCTGTGAGAAAACGATTTAGAAAAGTAGAATAACGTAGTTTGAAACATATTATACGTTGTTCAAATTATTCTGAATAAAACGTATGTATCTCGTACGCCACGGATGATATTTTCATCAAGTAATATTTAAGATATAATCATTTTAAACATTGGGTTTTCTTTATAATCGGTCCGGCATGGCCAGGTGCTTAGGGCGCTCGACTCGCAATCTGCGGGTTCGAATCCCCATCACACCAAACATGCTTGCCCTTTCAGCGTGGGGGCGTTATAATGTGACGGTCAATCCCACTATTCGTTGGTAAAAGAGTAGCCCAAGAGTTGGCGGTGGGTGGTGATGACTGACTAGCTGCCTTCCCTCTAGTCTGACACTGCTAAATTAAGGACGGCTAGCGCAGATAGCCCTTGTGTAGCTTTGCGCGAAATCCATAACAAACAATCTTTATAATCACCTTGATGTAATATTGGTATACAGCTATTCAAAAGATTAGTTAATGCATAAAAACTACAATAACATTAATGGTTGAGACACTGTATATGGCTGATAGACTGTCAGTAAATTACTTAGATTAGAGCAATATTTATAATAGAGAAATAAGTAACATTATCGTTTCACATTCTTTTAAGAATTTATGATCCTGGACATCACAGAAGATTGTACATTTAGCTGTTTCACATTGTTCTTTCCTAGTCTAGTCTTGATGAGCCGTTAACTCAGACTGTACTCGTATACTTGCATTCAAATAAACGTTAAACCTTTTCATGTGTTTACTGAAGTTGTAACACGATTTTAAGTGTGTTTTATACAAGGAATTTCACTGTAAAATGATTCTACGTAATGAGGGTCTTGATGCATTGTTCTTCCTCAACAACCATCATTCTAATACTCCTTCGATACTATAAATCCTCTAAAAGAAATTGTCGTATTCCTGTATGTTTGTTTATCTTTTTATAAATTATTTCGTAACAAGTGTAGATGGATGCTATGGCAGCTAAATAAACCTACTTTAACTAGTTTATTCATGAATACTTATATTTATAAAAACTACAACTGCGCTTGACTTAGCGCTTAGCGTGTCGGACTATGAATCTGGAGGTTTCACGTTCCCTTGCTGTAAAATCGCGGTCCGCATTTTGAGACAAGACTACACTATAAGTGACGGTCAAACCAAACACTTTTTTAAGGGCATTCCAAGAGTTGGCAGTACGTTACGTTGACTGTTTTTCTTCTAGTGTATCAGTTCAAAATTAGGGGCGGCTAGCACAGATCGTACTTCTGTATCTTTGCGCGAATATCCGAGACAAATAAGCAATTTCTGGCTATAGCTCAAATCATCCCTCGCAAAAAAAAAAAGAAAAAAAAGTCAAATTACGTCATTATATAGGTTGAGAATTCCAATTCGTCAATAAGACTTCTCCCAGGAGCTGCTGTGTCGTCATTACAGGTTTTAGTGTTTTATGATATCATGCACTTTTAGTCAGTAAGTTATATACAACTGGCTTTATTAATTTATATATTACTTTCTAGTTCTTATCTATATCCTAAGATTATTTTTGATCAGTTATTAATAATATAATTATTTTTCCTAATATATTATAAACTGTTTACGATTGTGCAATACTCACACTTATCTTTCCCTTCTTATGTCCTTCAATTTTATTTAGGTTGTAGTTTTTCCTATCAGGATTTGACTCATACCAATGTAAGCCTAACAAATTATTGTTCGTCACTGGAAATCAGTAACACAAAAATCTAGAAATAGGTTTTGTTTCTTATTACCAGTATATTATTTTATTCTTTCGCCTTTGTCAGTTGATTCGTTCTCTCTCACATCTCCAACCTTTCTTCGTTTTTTTTTTCATCGAACTGCTGTCTTTTATATTCCTTTCTCAAACAGACGCCGAATCTGTCCCTTTCTTTCTGATTTTGCACCTGTTTCACCTTATATTGGATTATAACGTTTCATAACAACAGAGGGTCTTGTAGTCACTATATCGGACGAACTTAGAAAGGCGGCTACTATATTCCCTCATTCCAATAATTTTCTAATGACTTAGAGTACTGGAATCATCTAATCCCTTAGAGACTGACCAAAGGCCGTCCGATTTCTCAAACAGCAACTGATGTTACCTTAAATCTAACTTCATATTATAAATGATATGAATATTTATAAAATTACGTGTTTTTTTGTCACTTCTTTATGTTGTTGTACTGAGGAAGACTACTCGCTCCACACGGAGTTTTCTAATCTTGTTCTCTTTATTCATCATTATATTGAAACATTCCGTTACTTACTCGACATTTAGCCCTTTTTTTGTATTTGATTATATCATAATGTTTTAGTTGTGGGAGAAGAGGCTTATTACATCTCTGTTTGTGGTATTACAGTTCTCCACAATTGATATTATTGATCCTATCATTGTACTAAACTGATATTAGACATTTTTATAAACTTACTATATTGCACATTTAGATTTGATTTCTTTCATTATTATTGACTTATGTTTATTTGACTTGTGGTGAAGAAATATATTTGTATTTCCTCATTTTTTCCGTACGAATAATTTCTATTCAGAATAAACAGAGATGCTAGTTTCTTTAGCTCCGATTTGCATTATATCAGTTATAGGTGTACTAAATTATAGCCAATTGTATAACTTTTCACTAAAACAGAACATATAAAAGATGAAATATGTACGCTCGAATAGAATGTCGTTATTATGATAAAGTTATGCATTATTTTTAGCGTATGCGTAGAATAACAAGTAGCGAATAAAACAAACTTTCATAAAAGCGACTAAACAAAATCTTTATCGTTTTATTTCTTTGAAACAGCTATTACTCGTGGCTCTGGTGAGGTTAAAACATTGTACCAAAGCGTTTTTTTTTGCTTGTTCTCACGTAGTCTTTCGTATTTTGTTTTAAATCAAATGTTACAAGAACTCCCGCAGCATAGCAAGATAGCTAGTTGTGATGAATGGACACTAAAATATTGATTGAAAGTCACATGTTTTCGTTAAATGATGAACTTCACGTGGTTAAATGGCCTATACCATTTCTTCTTCTTCTTCTCTAAAAACATATTCCATAAACATAAATACGCATTTAAATTACGTTCATTTTGTTCTCTTGATGTACGAGTTCACAGTGAGTATACTTTAAAATCTTCTTTTTGTTGTTGTTTCTTTTTACAAAATAAGACAGTAAATACTTAAAATGTTAATTGTATGCACAATTTTCAAAAACAAATATGTTAATTATATAATCATTTAGAGAGAGGTCAGCGTGACCAGGTTAATCACTTTCTCTTTAAAAATGTTCAGAAACAGTTTCTTCAACTGATTTCAAATCTCGCATACAAATGAGTTTTTACGTTAATTTTATTTGAGTTTTAGATAATGAATGAGAACAGAAATCAACCAACTGCAGTATGCACATTTAATACAATCAATATTTAAACTCCGCTGTACAAAGTCCATAATTTTTGGCATTTATTAATCAGTATTATGGTTTCTCCCTTAACGATACACGTGTAACAGTTGTTTTCAATAAGTTACTACACGTAAAAACGAAATAATAATAGGTAAAGTGACTGTAACACTTTCTTAATAATCAAATAAACAACTTACATTAAACCATACTATGAACTTTCTGCAGTTTGTGTTTATTAAACCAGAAAAAAGTTTAGAACTGGATGTAGAAATAAGGGAGATTTGATTTATCAATCAAACGATCCATTTGATATTTTTGTGCTACATTGATAAAATAAATGAAATAGAGAAAAAAAATAATAGCACTTTGCATGACCGTTTTCTGGTAAAACAGCTAATCCTGATCTCAGATCTTTACAGAAAACTGTCAAAAATATTTCTCACCATTACTGGAAATCCATTAGGAATATCCGTGGGCGAATTTGCTCAAACGATCATTTTTGAAATCCATGTATAATAAACTCTGATTTTTTTTCTCAGATGCTTTCAGAAAGCATCAAATTAAAATGAAAATATCCATGTTTGTTTCATTTCATTCTATAGATAACGTGTGAGCTAAAAAACAAAACAAAAATAAAATAACTTAATAAACTATCTACCTTGTTGATATTTACAAACGATGAACATTAAAAAAAAGATTTATTACTATGGTGTTAATTAATGATGTCACCAGAAGTGTTTCTAGGTGCTTAAAAGATTCGGTGCTCGAGCCCATGGGTGCGGGGAATTTCGGCGTTTCGGTATGATATCGACAAGACATCAACTGGAGATTCGGGGCAAGAGCATCGTGTACCAGCGCCTAGCGACGCCTCTGGATGTCATCAATATGACGAACTAGCTACATTTTCAGGATTAGACTTTGAAAATGTCCCACGGAAAATGTTCTAATGTAGTTCTATACTCTTCTATATTTTTTCTATTTTTAATTTTTATCTAATGCTAGTTTCTTTTTTTTAAATTACATAATCAGAAAATTAAGTATAAAAAATAGCTCAAGAAAGAGAACCACAATTTTTGAGTTTGCATCTTCTTTTTTATCTTGTTCCTTATTTCACTTTGAGTTTTAGAAATGTATCATCTTTACTTCAGTAGGTACGCCTAAGATGATCAAGATGAGAAATAGGTCTGTATTTCGGATAACATATCTTGAAAAGTTGAGATATTATGCCAGAAAATATGATTTCTACCTACCTCACTGTTTTAACACCTTTAATCATTAAAAAGAAAAATTAACTAATATTTATATTCTGCTTTCAATACTTTGCAGATAAAATGTCGTTTTATATAATTTAGTATTATGCTAACATCATCTTTTGTGATATTTTGAGATTAGAACAGTAAATGGGCTTTCATTAATAAACTTTGTTACACTCATTAATCTTTTATTTTCATTTCTTAGACCCATTATTGAGATATCTAAGATACGTTCATAAACAATATTTTCATAATGACTTGAAATAGTGTTTGTAAAATCAACAGTAGAAAAAAATGCCAGTAAAACAGGATTATTATTTTAAAATATGAGAGATATGAGAAACAAAGTTTACAGATCTGATCTTTAAAAATATGTAGATAAAAGTGCTGCACTTCTGTGTCTACATGGTGCATCTTAGTTATTTTTCAAGGTGCACTGGTGATGTTTACAGGAAAGTGGTTAATGTGAGCTGTAAGGATATCCCTCCACTGATAATTCCTCTACCCCTCTTTTGTACCCTGAATGACTTCGTAACTATGCTTTTGGTACGTCTTAATTGGTTATACCTGAAGGAACACTTCATTTAGTAAAAATATTCCATACAAACACAAACAATGAATTCCAGATTTGGTTACTAAACTATGATCATGGCGTGTAACAGAATTCACTCGAGTTAACAGCTTGAAGGCCATGTTCATATTCACCTTACTACCCAGCAGGTACGAATAAAGTTCCATTACTCGTAACTATCTGATGACAGAAATGGAGAACACTACGCAACTTCTTAACTCCTTAGAGCAGCTACTTCTATTTTACAAGTGGTCCAAGTTAGGAACCTGTTTATAAAGTTAACGAGGTGAAACATTAGCTCTCTTTGATATTACAGAGAACAGGTTATACTTACCTTTCTATAGGCGAATGAACTAACACAATTCTGCCCACTACCATAAATCCTCAATTACTCACGTTTTTTCTTTACTGTCATCTAATCGAAACTGAACGAGAAAGAGTGAAAGATTATTATATATATATATTTCTCAACAATCTTCGGTGCAGAGAGTTATGAAGTACGCACAAAAAATACCGTTTAACAGAAAAAGAAAAGAAAAAAAAAACTGGGGTTCACCACAACTTCTATACACGATGTCTGATTATTATTTCTAAATAGTAATAACGCTTGAGCTGCCGATATGACATAGGTTTAAATATAGGGAGGATGTGTTAACATTGTATTTCAGGTTTATATACAAACTTCTGGAACATACTGTGTATTACATTATGTCAGTCTCGTGAATTATATTGGATGACTGCGAAAGTGTGTCGATCTTAGACTTTTTCAAAATTGGTGTTTGCAATTCCGTGTTTGCTTTGTTATTAGCTTTGACAGACGCTGACAGATGAGTCATAGAACCAGATGAGGAGGCCAAAGCGAGTTTTGATTTCGATAAGATGTTACTTTCACTTCCAGTCTTCTTTAGACCGCCAGTCTCTGTGTTACTGAACGCTCGTCTTAAAGACGAGAAACGAGTGAGAAGCTGTGCACGTTGAAGCTGTTGTAGTGTGTTGTACTGATCTTGAAGTCGTTTCTGCTTGTTCAGTAGTTCCTGATGCCTATACTCCAGGATCTCCTGACGACTCCGAGTGGAGATCAAGGTCGAAGAAGAACTCAACGTGTTCCTCAGATTAGCGACATTTACTGCTCCAGGCTTGCCTCCTTCTGACAAGCTACGCTCTAAGTGAGATTTCACAGCGAGCTCGGATTTTGTAAGTAGCCCTTCCTGGGAGTTGGCGCTTTCACTGCTGCTACTAGACGAGAAATCTCTCCGTATAATCTCTTCCGTCAAAGCCCGTGTTTTGATCACCTGTTTGCTGCTTGTTTTTAATTGCGGTTCGTCACCTGACGTTGATCTTCGCAATGAATCGGACGTAGATCTAAGCGCCCGTAAATTTGAATGGTTTCTCTTGCTGACTTGCTGAATTTTTTCTGTAAAATTAGCAGCACCATTAAAATCTTCATCCATCGATATATTGGAAGACTGCATTGCTGAGCGACTAGTTGTACGAGGTGGAGGAGGGGGTACTTTTTTGGGAGGAAGATGAGGAGGTTCTTGAAAATGTTGTTGTTTGCGACTAGTATGGAGAGGGGGGGCAGTGGTTTTACCTCTGTCTGACGCAAATGGACTTCGTTGGCGAATACCACCTTCACCAACCAATAATTTGCTACTTACTTCTCCTGAAGGATTTGGTGACCTCCTGTGGCCTAATTGCTGAGTAAAAGAACCATATGATTCAGAATAACTTGAAGCAAGATGACTATGAACACCACCAAGCGGATCTCTTCTAATTTCGTCTGTCTGATTAAAATACTGAAGTTCGTTTAACAGTTCATCTAGCGCATTTTCTTTCTGTTTCGTCCTCTGGTGGTCCTCAGGAGAAACTTGAATTACATTATAAGAGTATGCGTCGATGGGCTGTAATATAGTGATATAAATATATTGATTTGAACAAGATAAGAATGAAGTTCTAAAGCACAAAAACTTGCAACAATTGAATTTAAAAGAATATAAACAATATTTCCTGTATAACATTTAAAATACCTATGAACTAATTAATATTTATTTCAATAATAATCAAATCAAGCGAATGTCATTATAATGATTTCAAAATGCATTAAAAATAACTTATTCATTTACATCTTATCGCTAATAAAAACTTTGATACATGTGTTATTACGTACTCTGCAAACAAAAAAGACAGTTATAGAGATATAAGGTTTTAAAGAAAATCTAATCATTCGACCAATAAGTTAAATTTTGATATATGAACCTTAATTCTAGGTCATAAACTACTCAGTACTAAGACTAAGAAAATATTTCAATGTTATATAATATCACAAATACAACCAGCATTATGCTTTTAAGGCTTAGGACTAAAGACTATTTTCAATAAATAAATATTCACTCCCAATACCATCAGGATTTACCACAATTTTGAGCGAACATTTTGTTAGTTAGGTTAGGTAGGTAAGCATTTTCCATATTAATCAATATTAATCAGTATAACCTAAACGTGTATGATTATTGAATAAATGGCGTCACAACATCAGTGAAATAAACAGATAAATAAAAATTCAAATAAAATAAAAGGTGAAAGTTTATCTCCGAATTTCTTAAATCTAGAGGTGGAGTTAAAAATACTTGCTAGTTTAATCATGAAGTTGTACTACAAGCACAGAGTGCCATTCTTTAAACCAATATCCAAAGTGGTAAGAACCTCGTATTATTCTACGTCATATTATCGGTTATTATCCTTACATTTAATTTCCATGCTTTTTTCTTAGTACCATAAGTCAGTCTGTGAAAGTAATAACAGTGTCGATATTTCTTTCTTTAAAGGAAAATATATATATATGAAATAAATCGAACTCAGTAAAATAATTACATGTTATTATGTTAACAGTACATTACGTATTACTTTGAAGTTTTTAGCATAGATTGCTAACAAAACAAAAAAAAAAACGTTGCTTTCCAGCTGAAATTAGTGTTCACCATCAACTGTGAATTTATATTTTCCTGCAGATCATACAAAAAAAGTTTTATATCACGACAATATGAGCTCCACTATTTTAAATAACATTCTTTGCGATGCAGGGAAAACACTTTTCTGGCTTGAATTCTGACAATTTTGTTTCCTCTCAGTACAGTTCATATTCTAAATTTTGGCTTGTGTACATTATTTAAAAGTATACGTCTTCATCAAGGCTGTGGATGTTTTCAACATTTTCTGCTTTTTTAAACGATAGGACAACGAGTAAAGCAGTCAGTATTTCAAGCGGGCTTCGTAATGGAGATTTATGTAGCTCACTCAGCATGATACGTGATACAGTATTTGTTCGCTCCAGGGATGACATGAACACTGATATGTGCTATCATAGACCCAGACTTTTAACTTTACAAAAATAAAAGAAATCAGCGGTATGAAATTAGGCAATGAAAACACGTGTTTCTTTTGGATTGAAATTATATAAATAAAAAAAAGGAATGAAACATGTTGAAAAGTGTTTTTGTTTGAATTGTACAGTCTGTTTCAAAACAAGTCAAATGTTCAACGTAAAGTATCTTCACCCTAAAAAAATATCGTTCACGTAATAACAACAAAAATAATCGAAATACAAAACAAATACAATTGTCAGGTTTTAATCAGGCGACCATTTCTTCCAAACGTTTTGAGATGCATTCTGTTCTTATTGTACAGAATGACTAGTTAACTTTAAAATATTGTATCCAGGCATTTGGATATATACTAAACTATGCATGGAAGTCGTTATATACATCATTTGTGATAGAAATGCAATCTTCCGGAACCTTGAAAAATCATAATTTCTGTTTTAATTATGCAATAGTTTCCTGGCTAAGGTAACTCCTCTACGCACGTGATGGTAAAAGATGAACTGGGTCTCAAGTAAGTAGTTAATGCCGCAAAACAGAAGGTTCGGTAGGATTTGAAGGACATGTTAATTTTGTGTGAAAATAGAAAAGTCGGAAACTCTGGTTTCCTCTTTTCCGTGAATAGGGCTTGCCTGATGACATGGGTGACTCAACACTCTTGGAGTACTAATGGAGCTTAGGATTTTCTATATTAATCCACTAGCAAAGCTTATTCCACGATTCTAACTTCTTTGTGACTGTCAGCTGGCCTTGTTCAGATGATTTCTTTACTGATATAGTAGCCACATGATAGCCAACCAGCCAGATAACATTTTTAACCTAAACGATTCGAACTGGTTTTTTTGCTATACTTCAATAAAAAGTGTTGTTTCTTTGTAAAACATTTGTGTCAAGACTCTTTTAAGGCAAGTCAGGTTTACTTGCATTCTACATGCAGACTAATCGAGAACAATTTAATGAATTGGTTGGGTATGAATATTGACAAGTCTTGGGCCTAACCTACAGGTAACGTAGTTCAAATCTGAGCACATTCTATTTGCCTATAACATGCAACGATATACAGAAAACTATGTTAATATTTTTCAAATTTACATGATTAAAGATATATTAATAGTTTATATTTTAGAAGAGTATACTTATGATACTTGCATATCGCAGGCGTAACAGCTTTTCATGATAATCAAGTTATGTCGTATTTTTTCAACATCTTTCACGAAAATTTTGAAAGGAAAGTGACAGCTTTCATGCACAACATCAAAACAAGACTTGGTTTAACGAAGTTTTTAACTGTGTTTCTGAATAATGTAATACTGTACCTAATTTAGTTATTTTAAATGTAAAATAAAAGTTAGATGATACAATTACAATTCACCAATTGAGTAATGACAACATCACAATCGTTGGTCTTCTTGTGACTTCATTCTGCCAAAAGTGTGAAGTAATTAAACTTATTGCTGCCGTTTAGAATTATGATTTGTTGATTTTGATCTAAAATGAGTCTGATTTTGGAAATAGTGAATCGATTATTGTATTATTGTTGATAATAGTTATATATATATATATATATATGTAGTCGGAAAACCTGCCCTCTTACTACGTACTTTTTTCCAATAAATATGAGTATGACCTTAAACAATATCAGCAATAAATAGAATA